CTTTAGAAACAATCACACTAATGAAAAGTTCAAACTTAGAAAAGTTCTGTGGAGGTTTAGATAGAGTATTTTACAAAAAAATCCACAGTGGCTAGGCTGTGAGCCTGCTAGGTTAGGGACGGTGTCTTTTGCACCTTTGACCCCTCTCAGGATGGTTCCCTCCCTGTGCACCTGGAAGGGTTTATGAGCATTTGGTTCAGCTGCAAGGCCCCTTGAGAGGAGGCCGATCCTCAGATTAGAAGTTAGGAGACCCTGGGAAAGTCACTTTGCTTCTGTGGACCTCGGTTCCCTCATCTATAAAATAGAGGTCTTACAATTTCTCAGTCCATGACTCTAAGAGACGATTCGGGGGTCTCAGAAAATGTCTGCTGCTCTTGCTAAACCTCAAAGAAAAAGACGATGCCTTGTGCATGTACTACCCTCTTCTAGTGCTTCCATTCCATGAGTCCCAGGGCATTCTCTTTGCTGCTTTATTTCCTGTTAATAATGTCAGAGACAAAGAAATGGACTTGTTCATGTCACTTTTCCTTGATAGACCTTCCTTGAAGCTTCAAGAGGACACAGATTTGGTCTATTTTGCTCAGCAGTGTGTCCTCAGTGCTTAGCTCACAGCAGCTATTCGATAAACATTTGTTAAGACAGAATGAACATTTGTGAAAGAATAATTGAACACAAGGGCAACTGTGTCGGTCAGCTTTCTGTGACTATAACAAATAACAGAGATAATCAGCTTAGGAAGAGAAAAGGTTTGTTCTGGCTCACAGTTTTGAAAGTTGTAGTCCATGATCAGTCAGATCTATAGTTTTTTAGGCCTCTGGTGGTGAGGGGAGCAGTCGTCATGCTGGGAGCATGGGACCAAGAAAAACCGTCCACCTCTTGGCCAGAATGTGAAAGAGAGAGGGGAAGAAACTGGGGTCCCTCAATCCTCACTGAGGGCACACCCCAGTGTCTTGAAAGCTCCCTGCCAGGCCCTACCCGTTTCCCCCTCCCTGGTAGTGCCAACCTGGGGAGCAAGTCTTTAGTGCATGGTTCTTTGGGGGACATGCAGCGTCCACACTCAGCCCACGTCTTTAGGAAGGCGAGAGGGGGAGATATTGGTTACAAAGAATTCAAAGCTTGCCTTTAAGATATTTAAAGATCTCTTAAAATTGGTTCCTAGAAAGTAAATTTTTAAAAAATATGGACTCCAAATGACAAATGTGAATATGAAATTTTTTTTAACTTATGATCCTGGAATCACAAATTAAAACAATAACAAAATTCTTTTTTTTTTTTGCCATCAAATCAGAAATAGAGACCAATCCCAATGAGTGGGGAGATGTTGTGAGTGAAGACGCAAATTGGTAAAGACCATGGAGAACAATTGGATATTTCTCTCAAAATGAAATGTGAATGCCATTCTCTTCCTCTTCTGGGTATCAGTCATACAGAAATACCCACCCAGTACTCAGAGACACATTGAGTAAGCTCATGACCGTGTTTTTTTTTAATAGTAAAATTAGGAACAACCTAAATGCCCAGTGGGGGAGTAGCTTTGTCAGAGTATACCAGGTTATGCTTTATTTTAAAAATATTTTTTTAGATGTTGATGGACCTTTATTTTATTAATTTATTTTTATGTGGCGCTGAGAATCGCATCCAGTGCTTCACACATGCTAGGCAAGCGCTCTACCACTGAGCCACAACCCCAGCCCCCAGGTTATGCTTTGAAAAAAAAAAGTCAGTGTCTTAACATAGTAAAGGGTAAGCTATCACTCACTGTAGGCTTGTTTTGGATCCAGACCATCCCTAGAGCAATTTCTATTCATGTTGAGATTCAGTAAACCAGGCTGTCTTAAACTTGTGGCTTCTCCTTCTCAACCAGAGACCTTCTTTACTGTGTCAGGGAAAAGTACTGGATGCTCTCTTACTTGCAATTAAACACTTTCATCCACAAATTGTACAGGTGGCTTCCACTTTCAACTCCCTGACCAGAAACAGCCTTGTGGCTCCACCTAACTGCAATGAAACAGGAAGTATCATCTTCTTAGGTTGTCTAGAGGCGAGAAGAACAATACAACATTAGAAATCTTGAACCCAATGAGTGACGAAAATGTGTATCTATACTGTGGAGTACTATAGAGCCACTCAAAGCATCAGGTAGTTCCAGATTTGGTGATTAAAAAAAAACTTTCAAGCCTTAAGATTTTAATAAGTGTCTTAAGAAATTTGATCTCACTAAAATTATGTTTCTACACATTTATATATGTGCAAAGGCATGCAAAAAGTATATGTAGAAGGATGTACCCAAACAGCGGTTATCTCTGAGAAAGAATTATATTGAAGAAAGAACCCAAATTCTAGGGTATTCCAAGTTTCATTGTATTCTGCATTATTCACATCTTTTAACATGAGATTGGAAAAACAATTATCTGACATGGATTAAAATTGTTTTACATTTTCAAGAAGAAAGTGAACTCATCTGGGAACTTGTCCCCTGTAGCAGCTCTTTAAAAGGCTTTGAGATAAAATGTACTGTTTTTCAAAACTGGAAATAAAGGATCATCAATCCTTATATCCAAGGGTTTTCCATCCATGAGTATACCAAATATGGATTAAAATATTCCAAATATCAGATTGTCGCTAACAAGTACTATGCAGTTATGCCTATGGTGGTTGTCGGAACCAAACATGTTATAGACTTTTTCTGTCTTATTCCCTAACCAGTATAGTTAACAACTATTTATGTAGCATTTATATTGTATTAGCATATATATTTATATTGTATTGTAGACAATCTAGAGATGATTTGAAGCATGAGGGGTGATGTACATAGGATATAAGCTCATTTGGGACTTTTTTTTTTTTTTTTGTAGTGCAGATTGAAGCCAGGAACACTTAAACACTGAGCCACATCCCCAGCCCTCTTTTTATGTTTTTTATTTTGAGACTGGGTCTCACTAAGTTGCTAAGGGCCTCGCTAAGTTGCTGAGACTGGCTTTGAACTTATGATCCTCCCGCCTCAGCCTCCCCAGCTGCTGGGATTACAGGCATGTGCCACTGTGCTTGGATGGAGCCATATTATATAAAAGACTTATATAAAATGCATCAGCATCTGCAGATTTTGGTATCTATAGTAATCCTGACACCAATTCCTTATGGACACTAAAGGCTGACTATACCTTAGCTTCATTAGCTTGAACAAATTGCTTATCTTTTGTTTGTTTTTTTTTTTCGGTCATAGCCATAAGTGCTTAGACATAGGAAATACTTAGAAAAAAATTATTGTCTTAAGTCAAATTAAATAAAAATTACCGGAGGCCATTGTTTTGGACTAGGCTTCAACAGGCGAGGCTAAAAATCAAAATGGAGGCCCTCATACCAAATCCCAAGTACGTCATCATCTAACCTTCTGAGAAACTCTGAGAAAGAGACAACAACCAAATTTCCCAAAAAAGACCAGTTTCAATCAGCCTCATAATGAGGTTCACTCAGTTTAATCCTTATTTTTTAAAAAAATAACCCTTAATAACCTGATGTTAACTCACCTGTTGTTTTTCTATTGCTTGCCTTCCTGTCCCCACCTTACAGGGAAAGTCACTTTGAAATGACCAGTCCCCTCTTTGTTCCTTGGTTTCTGCATTCTTCAGTCCTTCTCTGTCTGTAAAACCAACTTCATCTGCTCAGCTCCTTGGAACACTTACTCTATTTTATGGAACGAAGAGTTGCCTGATTCTAGAATTGAAAATAAACCCAGAGATCTTTAAACCAAATTTGTCGTGATTTTTTTTTTTCTTTTGACAATCTATTCCCTGGAAATAGAATCGGACAGAGAACCGTTAGCAAATGTTTGTTAGGGAATGCATTCAGTCAGGAGCAATACTCATGACGGGTGACAGAAGCCAGCCAGTTGGGCCACAGAAAGGGGCTGAACTGTCATGGAGTTACAATGGATCTCTCAGCCGTGGGCGCTGGCACTGCAGGCCTTTTGCATTGTTCCAGCAAGTGTCCCCTCCACATCCAACATGCACTTGTTGGGGCTGCAAGGGTCGGGGTGCAACAGTGACCAAGGCATCTTGGAGAGGAACTAAGCTGAGAACTCTCAGCCACCAGCACTCCAGCAGGTGGGGCAATGCGAGCCCCAGCTTGAGGGGTACCCTGGGCTGTTCCCCAAGGATCCCCATTTCTCAGTTCACCTTGTGAGTGAGGGTGACGGTGGGGCTGAGTGCATGGCATGAGGGTGACCCCGAGAACAGTGGACATATACATACTCAGCAAATATTTGTGGGATGAAGAAATGGGTGGTGTCAGCTTTGGCCCAGGCTCACGGCACCCCGAGGGGCCTGCGAGAGTGGTTCGGAGAGTGAGATCCCCACGGCTGCATCCCCAGGCAATGCAGAAGTCAACCATAGAGAGTCTGGGCCTCATCCTGCGGGTTCCCACCAATCTCACAGGAGAAGCAGTACCTGGAAGCCTCAGAGCAACCGAAACCCAACTCAAGGGAAACTGCTCCTCCTCTCCTCCTTCCTTCTGCCCCACCCCATCATTTCCTTGCTCCTCAGCAATTTCTTCCAGGGGAAGAGGAAAGAGACAAAGTTCCAGACAGATACTGTGCCCTGGAAAGTGGCCCTGGAGAAAATGTAACCGCTGGTGAAGGGCGACTTGGGGCGCATGGATGCACCTCACAAACACAGGCTCCTAGTGACTCCTTAGATATAATGGGTTGGAGCTCTTGGAATGATCTAGGCCAGTGCGCCTCAAACTGCAGCGTGAGCACAAATCCCCTGGCTCTTGTTAAAATGCAGATCCTGACAGAAGGTTTGGAGTAAAGCCCAAGCTTCTGTGCTCCCAATGAGCTCCCACAAAATGCCCCTGCCTCTGGTCCACGGGTAGGCTGATGTTTTTAGACACAGAGATTATAGAGGTTGTTGCTTTAACTAAAAGGTATACCTCACCACCATCACGTGCCTATTTACAGCTTGCGGTGTGGTGTGCAGTGCTAAGTACTTTGAACACTTTTTTTTTTTTTCTCACAATACTCAAAGAGCCCTCCAAATGGCTCTTATTGCCATACCCGTTTCACAGAAGGAGGAACTCAGGTCCTTGGGAGACTAACCAGCTGGTGAGTAGTGACTACAGCATCTGGGTCGGGCCATCAGAGCCCTGGTACTTAGCTCTTCAACACTTAGAAGAGCACAGAGGGAAGCGCACTTTCCTGCCAGCATGTTTTCTAGAACAGCCAGAGGGGGCCCTGCCTTGCTGAGAAGAGAAGCCGGGTCTGGAACAGGAGCATCAGGCGGTGTCGTATCCAGAGTGGGACGTGACGCTGGCTCCCCAGGAGGCTGTCTCGGTGGCAGGACACCAGTTCTTGGCTGGTCTCCTTGTGGCACGAGTGGCATCCCGGACCCCAAGGCGAGGCCCGCGCTGAGCCGCGCGCACGAGCTCCAGGTGGCGCTCACTGCACCCAGCGCCGCAGCCCGCGTTCCCAGAGCGCGGCTGTATGGCTTAGCTCAGCCTTGAAATCCAACCTACATTCACCCCCTGGGCCTGCAGACACTCGCGCCAGATGCTCTCCCCAACCAGAGCTCCGGTAATGGGAGGTGACAGGCTGAGCGCGGGGACCTGGGGCGCGAGGTTGAGTGGCTGACAGCTGAGCGCGCTTCTCCTTGAAAGGAGACCTGGGCGGTGACGGTGTGGCGCTGGGTCCTGCGCCTCTTAAGCCATAGATGCACCACCCTGGGGAAGAAGGGACTTCCCTATTTTAGACTCTAAAGCTCCACTTTCTACTCCCAAGCAAGGGACCCCAGCTGCATCCTCAGAGCCCACTGCAGTAAACCCTGATAAAGTCACAGGGATTTTCTAGGGTTGAAAACGAATTGAGGTCATACTGGTGACCAAAATAAATAAAGAAAGAAACAGTCCACATTTCCTAGACAAAATGTTTCCCTTTCAGTCCGACCCCACCCCCAGCCCATATGGCACCTTTGTGAGAATTAGGAAAAGTGCCTCTGTGTGGCAAGGCAGCAAATGGGGTCAGGACAAGCAAGTGGGAGAAGGACAAGGGCAGTCACAGGGCTTCTGGCCTGATGAGCCATCTTGACCCAGCTTTGTGCACTCAGGGGCTCCTCAGCTGGTGCCCTTAAGCAAGGCACAACAGATACACCTGTACCAAGTGACTGCCCTTTTTCTCTCTTTGTTTCCTTTCTTTATCAATTGGTTATTGACTACCTCATCTGTGTTTCCTGCTCCTGACCCTCCCCTCTATACCTCTACACTTTGTAGGTAAGGAAAATCTAAAGATAAATAAAATATTACTCCTGACTTTAAATCCCTTGTGGGGAGGCAGACACCTACACAAACTGCTAGGTTTTCTGATATTGAGCACTGAACTATTTGTACAGGTCGAAAATCAAGGAACCCAGGTGATTCATACCAGGGATGAAAGTCTTGGTACACATCACCTTAAAGATTAACGCACTGTGTGAAGATCTTGGAAGAGTCACTGGAGAACTTTTGCTGTCTAGCAGCTTGACTCTCGGAGGGGCCTGGGCAGAGCTGACAGAGGAGAGGGCTTTGCTCCTCTCATTTCTGCTGGCTTGCAGCATCACCTGCGGGAGAAAGACAAATAACTCTACTTTATTGAAAGAGGGAAGTTTGATTTGGTGGGGGGGGGCACTGGGAGTAGAGGAGGAAGCAGAATGATTAGGCTCTGCATGGAAGAAGGGCCGGAGAAAAATCCCCACACCCAGGATGAATTTTTAAATCATATCTGCTATGAAAAGTGTTATTAAATCCATGCTCTGTGACACTCCCTACCCCGCCCCCAAATCCACTTATAATTTTGAAGTGCCTGGGGGTAAGGGGAGGACACCAAGGAAGAATCTGGATCCTTTTAAGTTGTCATGGGTCAAAATCGTAGGCGCTTAGAGGCAAAGGAGACCATGAGAATGTAACTCCATGAGCATTCACATAACAACAGGGGAAGTCTTCGGATTTTTTTTCAGGCCACGGACTTGAGGATTCCAGGCTATGTCATGAAGCTCTTGGGGGATGAAATCAGCTGAGGGATGCCCCAGCTGATATCCAGGTTGGAGCAATAATGTGTGTGGAGTTGTTAGTTGTTTGACATGTTCAAGTGCATGCCGCAGCCAGGCAGGTGAAAGAGCAAAGCCAGCCGGACGTGAGACGGCAGGGATTGCTGGGGACTTTGGCGAGCTGCAGGGTGGAGGTTCTAGCAGAGTGTTGTTGTTTTGCTTTGTTTAAATTTTAAAATTTGTTCTTTTTAATTATACCTAACAGTAGAGTGTATTTTGATGTATCATACATACATGGAGTATAACGTCCCCCATTCTGGTGGTTGTCCATGATGTGGACTTTCATGGGTCGTGTAATTCATATATGAACATAGGAAAGTTATGTCCGATTCCTTCTACTGACTTTCCCGTTCCCATTCCCCTTCCCTTCATTCCTTTTTGTCTAGTACAATGAACTTCTGTCCCCCCCCCCCCCGCCCACTACCCTTATTGTGTGTTAACATTCACATATGGGAGAGAACATCCAGCCTTTGGTTTGGGGGCACTGGCTTATTTTACTTACATGAGAGTCTCCAGTGCCATCCATTTACCAGCAAAAGCAGAATGTGGTCTTGAGAGCCAGCAAGCCCAATGCTCCCGGGGGCTCTGCATTTTAAGAGATACTAGGAATGCAGATGTTTGAGAAAAACTTCTCTTTTTAAAAAAAAAAAATGTTAACTTCTTCAAAAATATTTTTAGACTTCAGGAACCAAACAAAAGATGTCTCGAGTTGTATGAGGTTTCTAATTTAGAAAGTCAAAGTCAGGGACCAGATCTATTTTCAAAGCAAGTAATGAAATGACTGGCATTCTTGAGGGCGATGTGGGAGGAAAAGCTCCCACCCATGGGTCCCGAGTTCAGGGTGGCAGACTCTCTCTGCTACCAATTGTCTGGGTGGCTCCCATGAAGTAACTTACCATCTCTGGGCCTTAGTCTCTTCCTTAAAATGAAGGTATTAAGTCATGAAGTGTACGAGAGTTGGATCCCATTACTGAGGGGACCTCAAGAAATTTTCAACAGTGGAAAAGTAAGCCCTGAACGTGTTTCAAAGAATATTGAATCCATTGACATTTATTATGTGTTTGCAAGGTACATTACATTGATCAAGGAATTCTTGCTTACTCTGAGAAAGTAAACATAAACTCCAAAGGCCCTTAATTATTTTGCCCGCCTGAGAACAATGCTTCCAGAGAAGTGAGAGGAGAGCCCCCCACCACGGGGAACTGCGTTCCTGACACTATCAGCAGGTGAGTGACTGTGCTGTCAGCGATGATAAGAGTGCTGGCATATTTCCTATTCAGACTGATGGTGCTCTGAGACAGGAACCTAACTGATGTTTGTTCAATAACATCGAGATGTGTCACAGAATCTGGGGGGGTGTCCGGTATCTTTTGTCAGCTCAGAGTCAAACCCTGGGGAAAATATGCTGCAGACTCTTGCAGATGTTCTGAGATTAAATGATGTTTCTCTGAAAATGGATGAGGCATGCTCCACTGGTTTGCCAACTGCCTTTGCAGCATCAAGACCCCCGCTCCCTCCCCCAGGCCACTCAATAAACAGAGTCGCATCTAGTCCTTTGGGCTTTCTATGGAGCCCCAGGACAGCTTTGCATTCTTTAGGGATTTGGGGTGGGGGGGGCAGTGGTAGCTTGGTCTGAGCATCCTAAAAAGATGGAATGGGGGAGAGGAGATGTTGGGAGAGAGGAAGAGAAGTAGCAGGGAAGGACGGGTGGGCAAGAGAGAACCCAAACCAAGCACTGAGACTGAGTAATTTTAGGAGGCAGTACTGTTTATGGAACATTTCATTCTTGATAGCTACTGTCACATTCTAGTCATTAGACTGCATTTACTTGTGGGTTGTAGAAATTACTTCCCATGGGAAATGAAAGCAATTCCTTTTTCAAAGGATGCTTTGTTTTCTAGGAGGAGAAAGCGAAGCATATGACAGTGCGGTGACGATCGCCTACATTCCCTGCTCAGTCAGTCTTCCTTCACGTTCGCCGCTTAGCATGACCACAAGAAGACGCAGCCCAGAATCGATGGTGAAGATGACCACAGTGATAGCTTCCACTTACTGAGTCATAGAGCACTCCACTGCTCCATGTCAAGCCCTGGGATGAACCTTGACATCCACGTCTCAATGGAACCTTAAAGATATCCTGGACACTACTGCTGATAGCCCCATTTTACAGATGAGGAAACCAAGACATACAGATGAGGAAACCGAGACGTATATTTGCTCAAGATAACCTAGCTAGGAACTCCAATTTGCTCTGTCCAGCCCCAAAGCCCATTTTTATAGGTACTGACCTCTGAATATACTATATGTGTCAGAGAGACCTTTGCCATTCCTGATATAAAATCTCTCCCACTAACTACTGCAGGAAGGTGGAGTGGATAAAACAAACACAAAGCAAAGGAGACCGCTGTGTTTCTAAAACGAGAGAAGTCCACGTGTATTTCAGCTTTAATCTGTCACATCCATGAGGCGACAGCTGTTTCTCTTCTGCCCTCCAGATGCTGGCACCTAGAGCTTAAAACATCTGCAAATTAAAGTGAGTCCACGCTGCTGTCTGAGGAAATGAGACCTGCGGTTCCTGCTCTGCGCTTCCTCCACCAGCCAGAATCCCCTTCTTGCCTTGTTAGCATTTATATGAGAGCTCCCACTCTAGCACCGGTAGACGGTACCACGCTGCCCCGTGCATTCTCATTTTGATTAGTTACAGTGAAGCCATAATAACTGGCCTCATTTCTTCCCTTCACACCTGAGAGAGTGCCAGGAGCTCCCTGGGCCCTTCCTGCAGTCTAGCTTCATGACTTGGATCCATCCCACCTGAGTGATAATGATTAATTAAATCCATCCATCCTTCTATCCCCGTTTCCAGTTTTCAGAGCTTTCAAACACATGCTCTTGTTCTCAGTGACATAATTAGTCAATGGGCCCCAGCGAGAAGCCTCCTGTGCCCCTGCCCACCTCGTACAAAGAACGGCTCTCCTTTTTCTTCTCTTGAGAGCAGGCAGATGGGCTGGGTGCCGAGGGTTGGGTTTGGGGCTGTGATGCTAGAAGGAGGAGGAAGAGATGTGCTCCCCCCAGTTCCCAGTGTTGACAGAGGGTTTATTGAAGACAGAGGCCAAAACCATGCAGGGCCGGGTGAGGCAGTTTCCTCAGCTTGGGTGTCACCTACCTTCAAGTTACCCAAGGATTTCTTGAAGAAGCCAGTAGCCTTCCCTTAGCAGGCACAGTGCAAAGGCCTCTTGGCTGCAGTGTCCCCTCCCAATACTGGGTTCCTCCTAGTTGGCCAGTTTCCTCAGAAGCTCTCAGGGCTGTTTGTTATTGGCTAAAGTCTCTCCTCAGACTCAGCACGTTGGGATCCAACATAATTCCTAAGTTGGACACCATTTCATTCTTACATAAAAGAAATTTTTTTTCTTATTTCAGACCGTACATAGAGCACATTGCATTGTTCAGCCAAACACATTCGTGAGTCTTTGGAGTCATCAAGGGAAGCCCGTGTTGAATCTGGGAGTAGGGACTGGAGGAATGGAATTGCTCTGCAAAATGATTCCCAGAAAAAATTTCCATGCTGCTGAGAGTCGAGAAGAGGGAGGGGGCAGAAGGTGAGCTGGCAGAAATATACAAGGCGGTTCAGAAATGAAAGTCCAATATTGAACTGTTAGCTGTGTGCGGGGCTGTGACGTGAACTGTTCTGCTTCATGGAAATCTGGCTCATTAACATGTGCAAAGTGAGTTTTGTGCAAAGAAACTAGAAGCAGAGGAGGGGAACAACCCCAGGAATGAGATGTGAGAGGGATGGTGTTTGAGTGGAGCCAGGGTTCCCATGAGAGCAGAATTCCAGAGAATTCCAGAGGAACTGCAGGAATCTTCTTGGCCTGGGATGGGGCGGGCAGATGAGAAGGTGGCGGCAGACAATGGTGACACTTGCGGGGTCCTCATCACAGTCCTGGAAAGGAGACAGGGCAAATCATATAATTCTACTTTACAGAGGAGAAAACCCAAGACTCAGGCAGGTTGCTCTTCTTGTCCAATATCACACAACTGGTGGCAGAAAGGAAAGCCCAGATTAGGATGCAGAACTATATCCCATTCCTAGCCCCAGAGTCCCTAACCATTATTTGCCAACTGAAGGTAACCAGGAAAAAAAAAATCATCAAAGGTAAACGAGTAGCAGGTATGTACCAACACCAGCCTCCTCCTGCTTGCTGGGCCGCCAGCGAATGAACTTCACCATAGTGAGACAAAACAGGAGGGAGGGCAGGGTCATTTTGATGCAAAGAACATTCCTGGAGGAGGAGAAGCAGTAGAACATCACAGCAAGAAACTCTGGGTGGGTGAACAGGGGGGATGGTGTTTAATGAAATAATTGAATAATCCACCACTACTGATTCAAACCTAAGCCCCATGGGATCAGAGGTCCTAACAGACGCTGCCCTGTCCATGGGGTAAGAAGGCAGGAAGAGAGGTCCTGGCTCCTCTGCCATTTTAATTTTCTTGGCAGAAATCACAATAGGATACTTTGGGTTTGGCACAAGAGCCCACTGACAGCCTGCCTGGGAAATGTAACTTTCATGTGTGCCTTGTGACACTCCTCTATGGACTCTCCTGCAATCTGAGGACCTGAGATTTGGGCCATTTGTGCTTATTCTTTCACAACCAATATTCATGTCCCAGACTGGGTTCCTCGTGGGTTCTTGCTTACTGGGTAATTGCTGGTTGAGTTTTCTGCTGTCTTCGCCATGTAACTTGTGATTCGCACAGGATTCTGAACAAGAACCAGGCTGAACTTGTGTCATCCGTCATTGTCAGGTGGCCTCATGGGTGCATTTCTTCCAGCTGCATGCTCTTGTAGGAAAGCATGGTGCTGTCTCCTGATGGCTTCTGTCCCTGGAGCTGCTCCTGATGACTGCTGTCCCTCAGGCTATCACCTAATGACTCCATTCCCTGAGGCTGTCTTTGATTGCTGCTGTCCCTAGGGTCACTCCCAGAATTCTGCCTGATGCTAAGTGGGAGTAAGCAGTCAAGCCACAGAATGATAGGATGCAAAAGCAAGGAGACTCTGAGCTCTTAGAGGAGTCAGAGGTGGGTGAACACACATCTTTGCCTGGGGTGGCCCCACTGGAATCTATTGTCTCAGTGCCATTATTAATAACATCCTTTTCAATCTCAAAATGTCCCAGGGTGGATGATAAATTATGTAGGATCATCCTACTTGAGTGGTCATCTAAGTCATTTTTTTAAAAGGTTTTAGCTCAGCTTTGAAGACCCTCCTTCAAACAGACTCCTGGTGCCTTGTGTGTAAAACAGAAGAAAGTGGAGCTGCTCTAGTTAAAGAAGTGGGAGGCTGATGTCCTCCATCACTCGAACCCCACCCCACAGAGGCAGCCCTCCGCCAGCCTGTGGAAGTTGTAGAGCTCAATGCAGCCCATGTGGCACCCACTATCTTAATTTTACAGATAAGGAAACTGAGCTTACGGGACTACTTAGGGTCACATCACTGAGTTAGTGGAAGAGCCCACGCTAGAACTCACGTCATGCAGCCCCACAGAGATCTCTCCCCCATGCCAACTCTCCTGCCTTCTGATTTGCCAAAAGGTTTTAAAATTAAGTGGCCAGCTGGGCCCGGTGGCACATGCCTGTAATCCTAGTGGCTTGGGAGGCTGAGGCAGGAGGATCGCAAGTTCAAAGCTAGCCTCAGCAAAGACAAGGCGCTTAGCAACTCAGTGAGACCCTGTCTCTAAATAAAATACAAAAAAAGGGCTGGAGATGTGGCTCAGTGATCTAGTGCCCCTGAATTCAATCCCTGGTCCCTCCCTACCCCCATCAAAAAAATAAAAATAAAAGAACTAAGTGGCCAAATGCAAAATATTGTGCAAACTCTGGGTGTGTGTGCATGTGTGTGTGTATTTTTTATTTTAAGTAGTATCCTTTTTGTGCATCTGGCTTGTTTCATTCATGTTACTGCAAACAGGATTTTATTTTATTTTTTATTTTTTATGGCTGAATAGAATTCCATTGTCTATCTATTCTACATTTTCTTATTCTTTCTGAAGGACACCAGGTGGATTCCATGCCTTGGCTATTGCAACCAGTGCTGTAATAAACATGAGAGTACGTGTTTCTTGCAAAGATACTTTGCAAAATCAAAGTAATGATTTCCTCTTCTTTGGATATATACTCTGTCATGGAGTTGCTGAATCCTATGTTCTCCCTCATTTGTGGAAACTAATAAGTCAATTGTATAGAAGAACAGAATGGAAGAGTGGTCACTAGAGGGTGGAAAGGGCAGGGGTGAGGGCGGACAAAAGAAAGTTCACCAAAAACACAGTGGAGGAATCCCTCTGGCTCTTCTTGAGCACAGCAGGGTAACTATTGATTCAAATAATCTATAACCCATTTCAAAATTGCTGGCAGCTGGCAAAAATGACCCCCAAAGTATGAAATTTCCATATGTAAAAATGGTAGAAGAGATGGAAATGCTTATTACCTGGTTTGATTATTATACATGTGTTGGGTTACCATAATGTACCCCATTAAAAAGTGAATAAATAAATAAATAAAAACCCACCCTCCACAAAAGATGTATCCTGTATGCAATTTATGTGTCATGTCCATCGTGGGGGAAAAATGGTCCTACCTTAAAAAGCATCAAGTTTACCCTTGAGAAGCCCAAGTTCACAAAGCAACAGCAGGGGATTTGCTGGGTTCTGAGGTGACTTGAACTATGTACTTATGAAAGTAAATGGCACTTGGGGACAAATGCCTTTTCTAGAATCCGTATCCTTGAAAATATTGAGGCAGGCTGCATGCATCTAGAGAAGCAATCCTCAAAAGCCAAACGGGAAGCAAATCTCGGGCTCTCGTATGGAAAGCACAGAGACTGTGCTTTGTGTTAGGTCCTCCCTTGGAATGGCAGTTGGTAAATCTACACTGAAACAAGTCCCTTTCTCGAAGCCCCAGGTGAGGTCACTAGCTGTCCTCTAACTTCCGCCCTCACCTGCTCCTACCTGGCCTCAGCCAGGCAGAATCCACGTGAACCTTGTGCAGGAAAAGCACATACTAAATGCAAATCAGACCACAAGGCAGTCATTTCAAGGCCTAAGGAAGGCCACCAGAGGCAAGGTCATGTCCAAGGCAGCCTGCGTGTGGCAGCTTCTGAGTGGAAGCAGAGGGGTTTTATTTGTTTCTGTTTTTGTAAATGTTAACCTTGTTTCAATGTGATCCAAACACTGAGTGTTTCTCAGGGAAACAAGTGCCCGTATCTCTGTCCTAAGCACACCAATTCGTCCCCAATCAGAAAGCAATTGTCCCCTCCCACCTGGAGTGTTGAAAAGAAACAGGCTGACCCAGGTGGGGTGGGTGTGGGCTCACCCTTGCCCTTCTCACCTGCTGATGCAGAGTATTTGCATAGCTAGGATTCTCAGGAAACACCCCAGCCCATCGGTGCAGAAGCCCTGGGTATCTATGCAAAGCATGTGCCCCTGCTCGGAGGCTTGACACGAGAGGCCGCACAGTAGAAACGGAGTCTGGCATCATGGAGCTCTTGCTGGGAGCTCGAGGATCTAAAACCACATGAAACCCCTATCAGGTGGAAACTGTGATTATCTCCATTTCAGAGAGGAAGAAACAGGGCTTGATAAAGATGAAAGGACATCCTTGGACTCTCAGCAAAGAAGCGGTAGAGCCAGGATTCCAACCCCCACGTCCAGCCCTAGAGCTTGCCCCTGAGCAACCAAAGCCAGCCATGCCAAGTTGAGACACCCAGGGGCCAGGCTTCCCAGTCTTCCCTGTGCCCTCCCATCACCCAGGACTCCTGTTTGATTCTGAAGCTCCCAGACATGCCAGAAACCCTTCATTTCCAAAAAGCCCCCAGGTCACGCCAAGGCTGCTGCGGTTTCTCGAAGTAGCAGTCTGCAGACCTTTTTCAGAGAGTAAATATTTTAGGCTTTGAGGCCACATACAGCTTCCATTTCTCCTTCTCCTCCTCCTTCTTTCTTCTCCTTTTCCTCCTTTTATCCTTCCTCCTCCTCCTCCTCCTCTTTCTCTCTTTCTCCCACTCTGTCTTTTTACAACCCTTTAAGAATGTCAAACCCCTTAGCTGTTGGCTCTTGAGCTGCCTCTGGTCTGAGAAGTGGTTTGCTATTCCTGGACCTGGGCACACAGGACAGAGAACTGCACGTGGGGACCGTTACCCATAGGCATCTGAGATTTAGTCCTGTTTTTGTTCAGTGACATCCAGTCTTTAGGACCAAGAGATTCCAGATAAAATCTGCAGGGGCCGGCCTCCCGGCCTGTAAGGTAGAGTTGGAGGAAGGCTAGGGACCTGGGGGTCAGGGAGTGGAGGAGCAGGAAATTGCCTTGTGTACTAGGAGCTCTTAGCCTCTGCAGAGGTTGTTGAAGGGGCTCTCATGATAGAGGAGAGGTCAAACCCAGAGACTCCCTGGGCTCGAGTCTAAGATCCTGTGATCCTAACGTGCGAGGCTTATCGAATGCTGTCATGTGATAATCTGCATACACAGGACCCGATTCTCCTCCTGTTCATCAGCAACCACATCTCAGAGCAGCTGCCTCCTTATCTCCTGGCCCAGCCAGAGAAGGGGGGGGCTGAAATTCACTTCAGGGTGTCACTGCTCTGGGGGAAAAGGGAAATTAGCCTCAAGCTCAGAAATAGTAGGTGAGGGTCCTCTGTGTGAAGGCCTCGGCCAACTAATGGGGAATCTTGTTGCTTTTCATCTCCTCCCAACTTCAGAATGTAGTGAAGTCAATCTACAGAATAATTACAGATATGAATAAAGGTTCTTCCCTCACTGAGTGCCAAGGTTGGCCTCTGCCTGAACAGTCCTCTGAGGCTCTTCCCTTGTGTTATCTTTTATTCCTTCTCCTTTCTTTCAATCCTCTTTCTGGGCTGCAGGCAATCTTGCTGTTGCTTCTAACAGGCACCTTGGAATGCATGAGCTCCTTCAAAATGTCTTCTGCTTTGTACGCATATATATTTTAATTTACTTCATAGTATTATGTATATTCTATAGACTTCTTCACCCTCCACTGTTTTTAAGGTCCAGCCCCATAGCTACTTGTTGTAATACCTATTTCTTCTACCTGCTGTACAAACTCGACATTCAACATATTTTGCTTTTCCATTTTTCCAATCATCCTCATGCAGGTGACTTCCAGTTTCTGGTCATCCTACACAATGCTGTGATGAAAATTCACATTCCTTTATGGACACTGGTGAGGAATTCCTGGTGACAGCTGACCAGGGCAGTAGAGTGCTGGGTGTCAGGGTGTTTGTCCATTTAATTTGACTTCATCTTACCCAGCAACTCTCAGAGAGAACCGCGCCAATCCATAGTCCCACCGCTGGTGGGCCAAGGCTCTTGTTGCCACATCTACCCACCCTTCTAATTGAACCACTTTCCAATTTTCTAGTCCAATACTGGTGTGGCGACATGTCAATGTTGATTTAGTTTTGTCCCTCTGTGCTCAGTAATGAGTTTGAGCATTTGGGCTATGCTTTTTGAAGTTCTTTTTCTCTTTCTTTCTTTCTTTTCTTTTGTTTTCTTTTTTTGAAACTGCTTGTTACTATTCTCTTCTATCTTCCCAATGATATTGCTATTTTTTTTTCCTGAACTTTAAAAAAAAATTTTTTTGTTGTAGGTGGACACAATACCTTTATTAAATTAATTAATTTATTTATTTTTATGTTGTGCTAAGGATCAAACCCAGTGCCTCACACATGCTAGGCAAGTGCTCTACCACTGAGCCGCAACCCCAGCCCCTGTTGGGAACTTTTAAAAAATTTTGATATGCAGGAATTTCTTGAAAATTCTGTAATTTAGATATTGACCCTTGCCAAGCTTTAGACATTACCAATATCTTCTTTCAGTCGGTTTGTGCTTTAGTTATGGTATCTTTTGCTGAATGGAAGTACTTAAAATCGATGTAATCAAATATGGCTTTTTTTTTTTTGTAACCTCAGAGTTTATATACTTCTCCAGTTTTTGCACACAAAGTTCATCCAATAATCCCAGCTCCTTGTCTCATCTCCTACATTTTGTCTTATTGTGTGATTTGACCTGTCACATTTAGGCCATCTGTGCTTCTGCAGTAGTCAGGTTTTTGTCACTGTGACCAAAATACCTGGCATAAAAAACTTAAAGGAAAAAAGATTTATTTTTGCTCAGGGTATTAGAGGTTTCAGTCCATGGTCAGTTGGCTTCATTACCTGAAGTAAGACAGAACATCATGGTACAAGGGAATGGCAGAGAGTATCTTCTCAGCTCATGGCATCCAGGAGAGGGAAGTGGGGGAGGGGTAGAGAGAAGGTCAAGGACAAGATATACCTTTCTAAAATGCACCCCAATGACCTACTTCCTTCCATCATGCCCCACCTGCCTATAGTTTTCATCACCTCTCAATAATTCATTCAGTTATCAATGAATTAATCCACTGATGAGGTCAGAGCCTTCATGATCCAATCACTTCCCCAAATTCCTCCCTCTGAATCTTGCTGCCTTGAGACTTTGGAGGACACTTCATATCCAAACCGTCACACCATCTTATCATCTAGAGTTCAACCTTAAATGTAGTCACAGTCTTTTAATCCATTTTGTGTTACTATAACAAAATACTGGAGGCTGGGAAATTTATAAAGAAAGGAGATTTATTTTGGTTGAAAATTCTACCCAAGATTGGGTAATCACATCTTGTTGGCTTCTGATGAGGGCCTCATGTTGGGTCACATCAGGATGGAAAAGCAGAGAGGAGAAGTGAGTGCATGAGGAAGGATCATGTACGTAACTAAGGGGCTGGCTGCATAACAAGCTGCTCTTGTAGAAACCAGTCCAGGCCTGAGGGATCAAACTCATCAGGAAGACCTGATCCAGTCTCAAGAGAACTGACCTAGTCTCTGAAGAAAGGCACTAGCCCATTCCTGAGAAGCAGCGCCCAGTGGCCCAATCACCTCTCAGAAGCCCCACCCGCTAACACTGCCACGTTGAGAAATCAAGTCTCAAAGCGAATTTTGGGGTGACAATAAACCATATTTGAATCTCAGCACAGAGTGAAAAATATTTACCCCCCAGTTTCTCCAACACTATTTATCTATAGATGTGGTGCTGCTTTGTCATATGATAAGTTCCTTTCCTAAATGGTGACAAAAATGTAGTGTCAGTGACATTCATTTACATTACTTTCCATAATAAAGTAGCATTATTTTTTATTAAAATTTTAAAATAATATTTCAATCTTATATTGTTCATAAACCCTGATATGCAATAGTTGAGAACTGATTAAGTGAATTATACTACCTCTATGCCAATAAAAGTCCATGCATGGAGTACAAATAATATGAAAAAGAATACACAATGGCCTAGATAAATGTGTTTTATTGCTTAGTGAAATAACAGACTCAAAAACAGCATATAAAATGATCCTCTGTATGAAAGCACGTATATACATGTATAGAAGAAGTAAACACCTAAACAATTTTATGGTCAATGGATACTTATTATGGCTGTCAAATAAAGGAGAAACCCAATGAAGACCACTTGAAAAACCTGGCTTCCTAGCCAGAAGCATTCTAAACTGCAAAGTCCTTCAATAATCTAAACATTATCAGTGTGTTATTCTGTTTTGTATTGCTATAACAAAATATCCAAGTCTGGGTAACTTATAAAGAAAAGAGGTTGATTTAGTTCATAGTTTTAGAGGCAGGAAGTCCCAACAATGTGGTGCCAGCACTTGAGAAGGTTTCCCTCTCTTGCTAGGTAATATTATGATGGATGTCATCATGGTATTAGTATGTGTAAGAAGGAGAGATCATATGGTGAGACAGGAAGCCAGAAAGCATGAGGGTCCAGTCTTGCTCTTCTAGAACAACTCTCTCTCTCAAGAATTAACCAGGGTCCCATGATAACTATGTTAGTCCTTTCAAGGGCAGTGCCCAAAGACTAGGATCTTCCACAGATCCTACCTCTGGAAGATCTCACCACTTGTCAACGTCACCACCCTGAGGACCAAGCTCCCACCACCCGGAGAACAACGCCCAAAACAGCTCCAAGCCCCAGCGGCCATGATAAGGGGAGTTAGGCAGCAGAGTCCTGGAGACCAGAAGCTCTCAAGCTTTAAGGTGTCCATTGGTTACCTGGGATCTTGTTGAATTGCTGATGCGACTCAGTGGTGGAGAGGCCCTGGGATCCTGCATTTCTGACAAGATTTCTGGGGCTGCTGATGCTGTTGGTCCAAGACACACCTGGTCCAGGGGGCTCTGCAACCCAGCTCAGCCCTGCCGCAGCCCATGGCACAGGGACAGGTGCTGAGGAAGGGAGCCACTGGCCTTGAAAGGTACTGAAACAAGAGGTCAGGAAAGAGCTTAGTTTATGGCCTGTGTCCTCTTGAGATTCCTGGTTAGAGAGGACACAGAGCGTGGAGGCATACATAATAGAAGTGAAATATCACCTTGACCAATAACAAATACAGGTTAGTTTGGTATGATCTCTAGCGACATTAAAATAAATACATAAATAAAGGATAAATGCCAACTAGCAGCCATTCTCCTGACTCTTGACTCTTTCCTTGTCTTCTTCCTGCAGATGGATGAAGCCACCCAATTCTCTCTTGGCAGCAAGTCCTGAACTGAGGTAGGAAAGAAGGTAAGAGTCTCTGGCCTCTTGGACAAGGTCACCTGGGTTGAGGTGAAGCACTCGCTCAGGGGCCCATCCCCAGGTGGTGAGTTGAATCTGTGTCAACCTCAAGTTGAGGCTGCATAGTCTCTGAGCAAGTGCCAGTGGCCCATAGGTACCCCTCTCCTTTTGTTGCCCGTGGCCTTGGTTAGTTGTGACTTGGTCCTGCGATCTGCCAGTCCTAATGACTTGTTAAAATAAAGGCAAACCCAGGAAGCACAAGTAGATTCTCTTTAATGAACCTAAGAGATTCCGATTGGCATCCGAGACAGGGAGCCCACACAATAGAGAGAATTCACAACACACTGTCAGCTCACTGTGTGGACTCTGCTGGCCTTTAAAATATTTCCAGGTGCTCTTACTCATGGGCATTAAGAGCCGGGTCATCTGCATACACAACTCCCTATTTAAATGTTACTATTTAAGTAACATTTATTTCACATTTCAGATGTGTGTGCTAATGACTTTCTCACCTATTATATCAATTGAACTCAACACAACTTTGGAAGCTAGATATTGCAATGAAAATATAGACCTTTTAAAGAGCCTAAGTAACTTGCCCGAGATCACACAGCTAGTAAATGCCAAGCCCCCACTGAAAGAAAGAAAAGGGGGTGACAAGCGGATTGCCGGGGCTCTGATGGATAGCCTGTCCTGGGCGGAGCTTTTGGCTCAGGGTGAAGAAAATGCCCCAGGGGTAACGTGCTCCTGTCCACCTGAGTAGAGTAACCCAGGTGACGTTTCTAGGTGATGAGAGAGACTGCTGGCTTCTCAGGCCTTGGGATAAGGGTCATCGCCCCTGTCCTTTCTGTTAATAGGACTCCTGTGTTGTCCAAGTGGCCATGTATCTAGCCCCAAGAGATGACTCACAATTGACCTGAGGCAGTCACGGCCATCTCCTTCCTTTCTGCCAGTGATTGATTTAGTTGTGGGCATCTGGCCTGACATGAGAGGAAAAAGACTCAAGGAGACTTCTGAGAAGGCCTTCCTCCTTGATAAGAAAGAGGACTATAAAGAGGAAGCTCATTCCTATAACAGAACTTCCTTCCTTTCTTCTCGGGCTATTCTGGTATGAATAAGTGATAGCACTTAGGCCACCATCTTGTGACCAGGAGCCTTCCACTGGGGATGGCAGAGCTAAAGAGAGAAAGAGCTTGGGTCCTTGAAGTTCTGCTTGAAGTAATAAATGGCCCTGGAACATCTACCTCTAGACATTCTTATTATTAAGTTCCTTTTTAACTCAGCCACTATTAGTCAGATATCCTATAGCTTGCAGGCAAGCCACCATATTGATCAAAAGACCTCCTTTCAACTTCCCTTCTACAAGAGGCTAAACATTCCCACACAAATCTCTCTGTCCCAGATTGATATCGTGTCTAGATTTTTCTTCATCTGGTCTTCTCAATATTTTCCAGGGATTCCTTGTGTCCACAACTGGCTCAGCCTAGCACTAGTTATAAACCAGGGAAGACTCTGTTATTATTGTACAAGGGATATGTTGTCTGCTCTGACACACAGACATGGCTGTCTTCTTTATTAAACTCAGCTTACCTCCTCACATCCCCGGATGGAACAGGACTTTCCACTGTGCAGAATAGCGCCCCTCCCTCTCTCACAAAGATGTCTACATCCAGGTCCCTGGAAGCTCTTGCTATGGTTTGGATCTGAAATAGTCCCCAAGGGCCCATATGTTAAAAGATTTGTCCCCAGCATGTGGTGCCACTGGGAGATGGTGGAACCTTTAGAAGCTGGGGTCTAGTAGGAGGTCTTCCGGTCACTGGGGGTGTACCCTTGAAGGGGACTCCGGAAGCCCAGCTCTTCTTCTCTCTCTCCTTTGCATTCCAGCCACGAGGTGAGTGGCCCTGCTCCTCCACGTGCTGGTGCCATTGTGGGCAGCCACAAGCTCAAAGCAGCAGAGTGAACCCATCATGGACTGCAGCCTCTGAAACCAAGAGCCCAAATAAGTCTTTTCTCTTTACAAGTTGATGAGCCCAGGTGTTTGTTACAGTGACGGACAGCCGACTTACACACCTGTGAGGATGTTACCTCGCACAGCAAAAGGGACTTTGCAGATGAGGTTAAAATGATGGACCTTGAGGGAGAGAGCTTGTCCTGAGTTTTTTGGATGGGGCCTGTTGAAGCACATGAGAACCTTTCCGTATCATACTCAGAGCTGTTACAATCAAAGAAGGTCAAGGCCATTCATCTTACTGGCTTGGAAGATGCAATGTGGGCAGTCTCTAGGAGGGGAGAGCAAAGAAGACAGATTCTTCTTTTTTAGGGTTCCTAGAAAGGAAGAAAACTCTGCCAACATCTTGAGTTTTAGCCCAGAAAGATCTGTGTCAGATTTCTGACATACAGATCTGTTAGATAGTAAATCTGCATTGTTTAAGCCCCTAAGCTCATAGCAATTTACTAGAGCGGCAACAGGAAACTAAAACTAGGCCATGAGTGCGTCTAGCACTCCATTGTCCATTATGGTATGCATTATAGGACACGAGATCCAGAAAGATTTGTGCACAAGTCCTGGCTCTGTTTCCATGGGACCTTGAGGAAGTCACTTAGATCCTCTGAGTCTCAGTTACACCCTCTATAAAACAGAATAAGTCAGAGTGCTGTCTCTTGTAGGTTTGTTGTGACTATTTGAACAAGGCAACACCAGCTACACCCTAAACACAAGGCTGGCAAGTAAAAGTCACTGGATAAATGGTAGCCACTGTAGTACTGATTGAAGGAGAGAGATCAAGGGCCTTAGAAATCCCTCTGTGGTGGAATGCCCCTAAAGCAGGCAGGCTGTACACTCGGTTTGAAGTTGAGAGACTGTGTGATGTAGTGAGGAAGGATCACAGATTCCACAGCTAGTCCCCTGGGTTGGAATCCAGGGGGCTGCGTGACCTTGGGCACGTGATTCAGCATCTTAGTTTTGCCCAGAAGCAGGCCCTGAAACAACCCTTGGAGTGCAAGGAGCTTGTATGGAGGTGATTCCAGGAAATAGGCCTAGGGGAGTGGGAAAGTGGGACAGGAAAGGGGCAGGCCAGACGGGGGTACATCACCGAGCAAGCTGCTGTCCTGGGAAGCTGGAGGATAAGACATTCAAGGGAAATTTGGGGACACACGTAAGACATGTCTCTGAGTTGTCACACATCGTGAGGAAGCTAGGGAAGTTATACACCAGTTAGTCATCAGGTGAGCGCTGCTTCCCCAGGAGAGAAGTCCCCACGCATGCCCAGCCTGCCACACAGGGTCAGCTCTCAGGCAAAGAGATGGTGGCAGTGGGACTTGGGCTGACATAGTATGGGCTGAAGGGACGTGGGGAGGATCCCCTGGTGTTACCTCCATTCAGTTTTCCCATCTTTAAAATGGGCCCATGACAGCATCTGCCTAGGTATTATCCAGAGGATGAGGCAGCTTCACAAAGTCAAGTGCTTCCATCGGAACCTGACCTGGAGGGAGCGCCTTTGTGTGCTGGTTGTCATCCTTTGAAGTTCTTTGTCTTTCTGTGGGGAAGAAGTCATGGGCAAATGATACCATTTCCAGGGGAAGCCCCTCCGCTAGGGGCCTCTTGTTCCTCTGCCACTCAGCCCCCAGAGGCAGGAAGTTACCTGTGCCTGACCCCTGCAAACATGGTGACCTGGCTGAGCTCCCCACTCTGAGCACTGACTTTTAGAACACAAAGGACAAGCTGTTAGGTATTTATACCAACACATGCACTTTAGATGGGCCCTCGTTTCTTCCTGAAAGGAATCCAAAATCTCTGTTGGAACTGAAAACATTTTATATTTATGTATCACCAGTTATTGAGGGAACACAAAGTGCTCAGCGAATATGATCTCATTAGTCCTCACAACAGCCCTGAGGGAAGAAGCTGGCAAGAATTCTTATCCTCCTTGGAGAGGTGAGAGTGGGAGGGCTCAGGAGTCTGCTCGAGGGCATCAGGGTGATGGTGAGGGAGCACAGAGCTCAGGAGAGGGGCATCCGTTGGTGCAGCCTCTGTGCTTACTGCAGGTCCTGGGGATGAGCAAAATCCTGGGAACAGCTCACTGTCTCCCAGCATGGGCTCTGATAGATATGCTATGGTACAAACAATGCAAGGCTATTTTGATACTCAAAAGCTCCATACATTGGGCATGGAAAGATGTCCAAGACATTTAGGTGAGAAATGCAAGTTGCAAGGTGATTATGCTATATAATCACCCTTTACTGCAAAGTAGATGGTATGTAACATTAAGAGAAAAAGTCTGAACCCATATTGCCAAATTATATATGAAATATAAGGTATGTCTTTGTGTGTTAGTATTTTCAGGGGAGATATCTAGGAGAATGTGTATTAAATTTCATATGAAATATAATTATGCATTTTTTGTATTAGATTTTCAAGGGAAAGTTCTAGAAGAACATGCAACAATGGTTATCTCTATTGGTCAGATTAAAGGTCCTTTGATTTCCTTAATCACACGTATGTTAAATGCTTGAATCTTTTTGTAATGTGCATATTTTTCTTTGGTAATCAGGTTAAGAATTTCTAAAAACCAGAAAAAGGGAAATCCTTTATATCATCTAGAAAACATTAGAAATAGAAAATAAAACGACCAAAATATGCTCAGATTGTTTTCTTTCACTAAAAGGGAACAGCGGGAGTGTTTTCCTTGATGTGCAGAATTTGGAAAGATTCCACCAGACTTCCTATTTAGTTCCTCCTGCACAGCGAAGT